TGGAGGCTCGAACCCGGGACTTCCGTGTCTCTCTGCAGCGACCTAGCCCCGTGAGCTAAAGAGAGATCTCTCTACAGCCCAGTAGCTGTAGTGCTGCTATCACAGGGAAGGGCGGTGACGTCACCTGCTCTGGTACGCCGGCTCTTACACACAGTGCTTGTCGGCCGTAAGCGTTACATTATATAATTCGTGACACTGTGGCTGTGTTGTCTGTGTTAAGCTGCTGTTGCACTACAATTTTCCTCACAGGATCAATAAAGTATCTATCTATCTTATCTCACTATGGTACAGCAGTAGTGTTGTGAATTTTAATTTTGGCAGAGCACCCAACTGAATAGTAAGGAATAAACATCTGCCGCTGGGGCCCTGGGTTCAGTTACTGAACTGAGTGATATCTACATGGAGTTTGCACGTTTTCTCTATGTTATTGTTAGAATCATAGTCCCAAGACATACTGGCTAGTTAATTGGCTGCTGTAAAACTGATCATGGTGTGTGTGTGTCTCCTTTGAACAAGAATCCTCATTCAGGGTGTATCCCGCCTTGCACCCGTAGGTTAGCAGAATAGGCTTCTGCTCCTCCCATGACCCTGTACTGGATAAAGCGGATTCGAAAATTAGTATAAATCCATGAATATTACAAACATTTGCTAAACCAAGCACCTTACATCTATTCAATGAATTAAAGTGAGTGCTCAGACTTTTCTCCTTGATAGATAAGAGTATGCATCAGCTTATGCATTTGTAGTAAGTAAAAGCAATATGACTGAATGTATGAAGACCATTTCATACATGAAAAGGCTTTTAGCTAGATCCATAGATACAATCTTTGCGGAGTTTGTTGGGCAGCAAATGATGGAAGATTATGTTAGGACCTAAATATAAAAAAAAAGATGACGCGGTGCATAACTTCTTTCTATATAAAACAAGGAATAGGTCAGGAGCACCTCTCCTGTTAAATATTTATAATCCAAATTATGATGAGAAGTGTATTTCCCTGGAAACACAAAGGTTTCGTACTTTGTAAAGCCGAGTCCCTCTATCGCTGACAGTCTGATTGATAGGACAGCTTGGGTGGAGCAGGTGAGGCTTAGGCTCTACCCCCTTATCTGCATATATGAAATTGATCTTCTGTGGAGAGGAGAAACAACAGGAGTCTAGGGTGAAGTGTTTCGCGGAAACATTTAAAATTCATGAACAACGTAAGACTGATATGATATAAATGTTTCAAAATAGTAACTACAAACTAAATTTTGTTTATTGTTAAAGAATAAATATTCTTATTATTTACGTGTGTAACAAGTGTAAAATAGCTCGGGGCTATTTTTGTCCATTGGTCAGATAACCTTTTGGTGACGTTTTACGTAAACTTTAGTGACTCGAAAGGTAAATGTCGTTTTACTTTGGCACTGCTTATAGGCTGTGGTGTCCTGATTTCCCTAAACTTTATCGTTCTTGCAAAGTTAAACCTGGGTCTTTTTTTTCGGTTTTACTGTTGTCATGTCTCACTGTTAGGCGTTTGAACTGGCGGGTGTGTTGTTTGCTGCAGTCAGCGCAGGAGAAGCGAGGACACGAGCTGAAGAGAACTGTTGTTGAGACGGGTTCCAAAATTTAAGGTACGTTTTTTTTTAATTGTCTCTTCGCTAGTATACTTAAGATTTAAACAGGCAAAATAATAAAGAATGACGAATTCCTTAACTGTCGTTAGTGCTTAGTGTTCTACAGCTGTAAAGTACTGGTTTTATTATCAACGTTAACATTACAAATTGTGTAATGAAGTAGTTCTGTTCTTCAGGGTCACTTACTGATTACTGATCGTAGTATAACTAGGAAGTAACAGTAAGACAGTATTGCTGTTAACATGCCTTATTTCCATTTTGTCAACTCTATGATCGTGAAATGCAAGTAGTTTTGGTTTGTGTGGTGTGGGTTGCTTTTCTGCAGCTGTCGTTTATTTTTTTCATTTTATTGTTTTTCTGACTCTGTATACTATGCTCAAGTGACCGATTCTTCTATTTTTTATTGCTACCTTTTTAATTAGTTTCTTGATGCGCCATTTCCTTTACCCAGCTTTCTTTTGATTGTTGACCCATATTAAGGACGGTGTTGTATCAATTATACTTCATGTCTCCTTCCAAACCTAAACACTTAAACGTGTTTAAAAAAGTGCAGACTAAACTTGTGCTGTATCGTTGTACTGTTAGGAGAAGCATTGTGTTCTCAGACGATTACGTTTCCCAGGACGTGGTACTTACATACAGTAGATTCAGTATATATGTTTTGGCTACACAAAATATGTCATGTTATACAAAGATAAACGTTTTTTTTGTCTTCTGATTTTTTAAGAAGAAATCTTTGTGTTAAAAAGTTTCGTCTCTTTTTTGAGTATTGCTGTCTTGGATAAAAATGATTTTAATGACTTTTTTTTCTAGTTGACTTGCGATTAGTGTCAGATTATTATTAGTATTAGTATTATAACAGTTACCGATACATGAAGCATAATTTAAAAACAGCATTTGCCTCAGATGGACACTATAGAGAATACAATAAATTTAAAAGTCAAAAAGATGTAAATGATTCGAATTTTTATTCCATAAACTACTTGGTAAATTCAGTCCAGTTATTTGTTCTCTTCAATCATTTGCATTATCACCTCACAAATTTTAATTTTCATATCTACATATTTCTTTTACAAATTAAACATAAATGTTTATTACGTACCAAATATTTATTTACAGTAATACATAGCAAAAATACATTTATTGCTTTGAAAATAACACATTGAGGTGCAGATAATCATGAGGTCTGCAGTTGTTTTAAGAGTCTGAAGCCTATTGGAATGCTCAGGTGACATTTAGTAAACAAGCACAATGTTATTTCTAAGTATGTAATAACATTTTGTGTAGGTACTGTAGTTTGTTCTTGCAGTTAAAACCTTTATAGAGATTGAATTCAGGACGTTCTTGTAAGACATACGGTAGCAAAAATAGGTTGCAGCCTGCGCGAATCAGGTTTCTATATAGTATTTGTGGTAGTAGTAGTAATCACTTGCATTTGTGTGTATAATTTAATTTAGATTAATAATTTAATCTCTAACAAAGATTCTTCTTTGTAAAGCCTAGAAATAAAAAAAAAAACATTTGCTTGTTTTTTGTTTAGAAATTAGCATTTAAGGTAGGCTTTTGGAATGTGACAGTCATATAACAGATGTCTACCGAAGTTGCCATATCGGTTTTCACAGTCAGATACTGTAACGGGAGCACATCATTAGAGAATTTTCAGAATTTATTTGTTTTTGTTTGTGTTGTGTTTCTGTTGAATGGATTCTGATGTTGTGAAGCTGTTTGAATTTTGGCTAGTCTTATTTCAGTTTCTGGATTAAAATATTTAAGCTTTATTCTTGTGAATTTCATTACTGTCATTACAGGGTCAAGCCAATATTAAATTGTGTTACTGTCTATTTAGTTCCTTTAAATGGAAGAGCACACATATTAAGGTAGTACCCTGGTGCTCTCTTGTGTGTGCTACCAAATGATAAGCAGACCAAACAAAGTGAGACTGGTGAGAGTGGAAGGCTACTGGGCTGCAAGAGAACACATAGTTTGAGCTGGTTTGGACGAGATGAATAAATTTTCAGAACAACTGTAGTGCATTTTCTTTTAATTCAACAATTGGTTGTCCTGTCATTGTGGACTCAGTCAGTAATCTTGAGGTGAGCCCCTCTGCACTATTAAATAGATACTTTATTGATCCTCTGAGGGAAATTGCAGTCCAACAGCAGCTTTACACAGACCACACAGCCACAGTGTAACGAATGATACAATAATATTAATAAAATACATACGATACAATCAGTACAGTGATTTTTACCTTTTATGAAAGTGTATCAAAGCCTCAATTTTTAAAAACCTCTTTTAATTAAATTAAAAGCTCCTTTTCTGAATGGGAAAAGTAACATTTACATAAGCATTGAATATATAGATTAAGCCCTTTTGCCTTTTTTTTTACTTTGTAGAACTTTATATTTATCCCTGACCTATTTTGAAAACCATTTGTTCTTTCACAAAACATGCACATACTTGATTATTGAAGTTCGTTTAGGAGATAAAAAGAAAGGGAATATGTCAGACTTGTTAACAGGAAGAACTTTTGTGATGGTAAATGATAATTGCTCTTGATGTCAAGATTCAAATCCATTTGTAGATCCAGCCATCAGAGTGGGGTGAGCAAAATATTAATCTGCTCAGTTTCATCATAAACATCTGCTCTTAAAAGAAAAAAACAGATAATTTTTTGTCTTCCTCACAAATGTTTCATGCATATGATTTTTTAGTAATATGTGTTTTGTATTGTTGTCTTGTCATATAAACAAAGTTTCATTTTGGTATGTTTTTATAAGAAAATTGGTAACAAAGATGTCGTGGAAATGTTTTATTTTTCACATGTTGAGTATCCTTATGAGTAACAAAGTTTTGAAATATATTTGTGCTAGCTCTGTCATTTCAGAAATAGTACACATGCCCACCACACTGCTTTTAATGGACAGCAGGTGTCAGAATACAGAAATTGTGGATTGCATTACAGTAAAACCTTGTCAGCCACGAGGGTTATGTTCCTTAAAACCCTCACGTTAGGTAAATTTGTGGTTGATAAACTTAAATAATTTTAGGGGAACTGAAGTTATGCTTCAAACTATTAAAATCCCTCAGAGGTTTTTTTCATCTGCAGTAAAGCAAAACAGGATCATTTAGAGCTTTTTTTTTAACCTTTTAGTGCTTACCTTTTGTTTACCTGCTGTTTACCTTTTGGTTAACCTTTACCTTAAGCAATGATGGCAGTGTAGGTTGGGTCTTAAACTCACTTAAATTCAGGAGTGCCTAACCTTTTTTAATGTAAGATCTACTTTTTCATTTGCCAGTCCAGCGCAATCTACCAGTGTGAATTTGAAGCACTGATATAGGAAAAACAGATGACGGGCACATCAGTACAATAATGATACCCATCGCTATTTTTTTTTAAAGCAAGTGACTCATGCTACAGTGAACAAGTAATATTCCCCATTTTAGAAAAAATAATATCCTACCTTAATGTGAGCACTGGCACTGAGAAGCTTACTTGAGAACACTTGTAATTTTTTTTTAAACGTGTTGACACTGCTGATCATGTCGATTATATTTTTTATTTTGTCCCTGCAGCTCGACATTCAGCTCATTTAGTAGTTCAGTCAGGTCTGTGAGGAATGCTAAATCCAGAGGCCACTGGTCATCCTCTAATTGGGCATATTCATGACTTAAGAAACTCTTTGATTTCAGGCAACAGCTGTCTGAACCTTGCCAAAAAAAGTTTGTTTTTGAAATCTCCAACAGCAAGTCAGCAGCCTTAGCTTTTTTTTTTATTACTTCTCGATCCCTGAATTACTTTATGTGTCTAGCCAGGACGTGGCTCACATGGAACGATGTGATGATTGCTGCTTTCCCTCTTGTATTAGGCCTCGTCTGGTTGGGCACCCCTGCTTTAATAGCTTCACCTTTCTTTATCGTATGAACTGTAGCTTCTTTTACACCTAACAACAGCATTATTGCGCAGTTCTTCATAGTTCATCAGGCATTTAAGATTTTTCTTCATCACGGATATAGTTTGCTTAGCAAAATTGGACTTTGCTCTTTTTATAGGATAATTAACATACGAATGCATTGTTTTTAAGTTAATTTAAATAACACTTCAGAAAATGCTATCATAAACTTACAGCAATCAGTTGAAAGAACAAATTTAATCCATTCTCTTCATTATTAGTACACCCTACTGTAATGAAATGGGCAATGAAATTGTCAGTGAGCCTCTGTATCCAGTGGCTGCCAGCACTTCGTCTTTCTGCCTGCTCACCAGCTATTCCTTGCTCTGTGAATAGCACAATGAGATGCAGATGCTGGGTAGTGGGTACATGGGCAGGGGACAGGGAGAGGCTCACTCACTAGGTAGATACATCTCAACGATCCTAGTCTGTTGTACTGCTGTTTGAACATTTTAAAATAGTTGTAAACAACCTTCAGCTCGGATTCATCCTGCTTCGTTTTGTTTCATCCATCATTCCTTCAAAACTGCTGTCTGCCAGACCAAATCACAATTAAGCTAACTTTTGAATGTTAAATTTTCAGATGTAGAGACACTACTGTATATACAGATGCAGCCATTCAAAATACAAGGCAAAATCCCGTACCATGAGAAATTATCTACAGTTTAGCGCATTATACCACAGTACGTGATTGGCTGGCCAAAATGACCGACAGGCGGCACTCGTGGTGCATTTGTTGGTGAAACGATTGCTTCATTTAATCTCTTTACTGTGCATGTTTAAATCCACTTAATATTTAATATTAATATGGAATTTTACAACTAAAGGGAAATTTTGGTATCTGAGAATAAAAAGAAGAGCAGCATAAAGTGTCTGTAGGTCAATAAACAATATTAATTTAGGAATATAAACATGTAAACTGTATATGGTTGGTATTGTTAGTTTAAATACAACCAGTACACACCAGTATTCCACTTTCTTCATGAACATTTTAAGCATCAAAGTCTTTCATTTGGTTACATACTGTGGTTATTTTGGAAAAGT